ATTTTAGCTCAAATCTGTACTTAGATTTGAAGCATGTAAAAGCCAGCATAGTTCTAGTTTGTATGGAGAGTACAGTCTTATCTATTTGATATATTTTGAAACTTTAATTCTTTGTTAATAATTTAACTTACATTTGAAAAATTCTTCAAGTCTTTGTGTAAATATTATAACTAAATTGGGCGGTTGTGACCATTTTTTGACAATTTTGATCTCCTCTGGAAGAAGAGCTCCATGTAAAGATATTCTAAAATTATTAAATTTTATAACTAAAATGTATGAGGTTTTCCTTGCCTAATGCTAGTTGAAAGCTTAAGATATTATATTACTCCCTAGCTTCCTTGAACTATTAAGATGATTAAGGCAGTCAGATCCTTCGGTTTTAAAAATCTGCAGTTATTTGAACATTCTTAAAAAATGCTATCTCATTCGAAAAGTAATGTGAATGTACATTGTACCTATGATACCTATGATATTTCTTCGAACTTACATGTATCGTGATAGTTACCGGTACATGTAATCATGTTTCAGAAAGAAGAATTATCCAAATTAAAGATATGTTTTCAGGAAATGCAAATGAAAACCATAAGCTATATGTGCAATTTTACAATTTAAATTGATGGGGAAAAATCTTTTACTTAGAATAAACATTTATAAGTATCCTGGCATTTGGGGGAAATGCATGAGATGTTGTTTATATACTGAAGGGAAAAAGAAACGCAGGGTAGCATAAAATTCGATATTTTTTTGACCGCATGAAAAATTAAGAAAAGTAGAGAAATTTAGTTACTATGCACCAAAGTCAGTGTTCAGAATTACTCAACCGTAAAACGTATGACGTTACGCATGGAAAACACTATAAAGCATAAAACACGTGCAATTTGATGTCAACAACAATTGTCAACAAATCTTGTTACACCATTTGATACACCTGAGGTATACACATAGTTTTTTCACTATTTACAGACCAGTCGAATTTCTTGCAATCTTGTTACAGTTTACGGAAGTTCCATGGGGTCTGGTTTTCGAATTGCCCAATTAATGAAAATGGTAACAACGGGCAACTAAGCAGTTTTTTTGTAAAATTTCCCATCATATCGTCATATGAGTTTCAATAATTCATGAAGTATTAGACAAAATCAAATGGGATTTTGGTTATATCTTATTGAAAAATGATTTTAAAAGTTAGATAGGAATATGGAAAAATATTAAAAGAAAAATAAATTTAATTTACCTCTAAAGTTTACCCTGCGTTTCTCTTTCCTTTCAGTATATTTTATGGTATTTAGTTCTTATATTTTCTTCAATCATTATATAACACATACCTTGTGTAAAAAACTTTTCTTAAGAAAATCATCTACATTGTACATAACTTTACTTTTATTTTTAGTTGATTTACTTAATTGGTGTTAGGCATTCTATACCCTTTCTTTGGGATTATTATATAGCTCAGTTGATGTATATTGAGATAAACACATAAGCATAGATAGTCTTCATACCATTCCTTAGAGTCAAACCTAATTAGAGTTACGCTGTCTTGTCTTTAGATACATGTATGCCACGTTCATCATAAAGCTAGTGAAAAATATCTAGCACATGCTTACAAATAGTGCCTCCCAATTCTATAAGCAATTATCTTCATGTATATAATTAATAATAGTTTGCATAATTTTTTTAAACTTTGTCCAAAATGGCAAGGGCTTTTTGAAGGGATGGGGTGGGAGGTAATATACGACAAACAGAATGTTTTGTAGAAGCAAACGTATTATAGATACTTACAAAAATTGATGCAGATATCTAAGGTATCAGTCTCTTTACGTTCGTATCAGATTAAAAATGGCGCGGATATTCCAAGTAGCCCGGATGTTTTCTACCCATGATGCTTAGCCAGATTCATGGTATATTGGGCCAAATTAAGGCCGATGCAATCCCCCATCAATTTTTTTTTGCTCATGATACTGTACACGTCTTTAAATTCACATGTCTAAAATTTCACGGTTTGTTTGACAGTTACCTTTCACGACTTTTAATTTTTTTAATTGATTTTAATTGTTTTAATTTCACGGTGAACTGTTTCAGGTTCTATGCCTGTTTTAAGCTAGAAATGAAATGAGTTCGCGGAAAATCCTTAAATCAAGATCATAGTGAAATTAAAAACACCGTAATGTACGCCACTTTTACAGTAATAGTTTTATGATATAAAGCCAACAGTTAGCCCAACGTTTGCCCCATAATACATAACCATCTATCAATATTCTATGTTGGACCACCTATGGCAAAAAAAAAATGTAACCTAACAGCGATAATACAACCATAATGTAAGATTGGGCCAACGATATTCTGCTATCTGGAGCAAACTTAAGCGAAAAAGTAAACGATGAACTAACGGTGAACGCAAGATGAACGATTAATGTCTACGATTTTTTCCTTGCATTGAAATTATTCTTTTGCATTTTTATGTCCAGTGCTAAAGTACAAATAAATCCAAATGATAAATAAATGAATAAATAAATAATGAAAACAAATTCTCTGCACTAACGAATTATGTCTTAAAACAACATTTTAATAACACGGTTTTTTTGCTATTAAACATTTGTAATTGTTACCGAACGCGTGTAGCATAAAAGATAATATCAATCTACTCATGTTTATTCTTTTAATTCATAAAATAATGTGGCCTTTAGAAGAGAATACTGCCACTAATATAATGAATTACTTATCAAGGTTTTAACAACCATACATAATTATATTTCCATGCCAAGGCGATTCCGTGTAAATTAATGATTTTTTTTATTTATAAAGGCCTGTTGACGTACTGCATAAACTAATCGTATTCTGAAATTTTAATGCAATAATATTATACATTTATGTGTGATTTTTATCGAGATTTAATCGTCGGCTTTTATTTTCCTACTTCAAGTTCACACGGTTCACAAGAAAGTCCACGGGCTTGTCCTGTCAACAAAAATCAATCGACACAGCAGAGGTGTGGAAATTTTATTTCATCGAACGTGGCGAAGGCAAAGAGTCTACTATGTCCAAGAAGTATAAAAAAAAAATTTCCTATCATTTCTAGATCCGATTTACACATTTCATATACTTCGAAGGATTAAGCTTGAAATTGAATTGGAAACATGCTCCCTGCCAATTTAAAATACCACTGTAGGCACATGTATGTTTTGAATAACTATTGTCTGATAACTGTTTAGTTATTAGTTTTAAGAATGATTTTGTGTGTTTTTGCATGTGTGTTACAATGCACATAAAATGTTGATAAAAATATACTGAAAATACTATCTAAGAATTCGATCTCGGGAGAAAATGCGGGAAGGGGTAGAAGCTCCAAATCGAATGCCAAACATATATTTAGAAATTTTTCTTTTGTATATTTGCTGAAATTGGTCAATGAAAAAACTTGGATTATCATTAAGCCATTAACGATTTGTCGGTTTTTTCATAGCAACACAATCTTGCCATGCTTGAAGTATTTGTATATTCCTCTTATTTAAATTTAATTTTTTAGCATCATTCTACATACATGTAGCTACTAAGTGCGCTTATAACAACATCTATTTTTTCGACAGAAATTTCATGAATAAAGTAACAGCTAAGTTGTAATTATTAAAAATATAAATATTGTATATAATTTTTGCCATGCAATAATGCTTCTTCAAACACGATATCTTAGTTACTTAAATTTAAATCCTTACCATAAAAAAAGATAAATCCTTTTACTTCGGAGTTTCGAATCACAATAAAGACTGGACGATAAGGGAACGCTTAACGCAAGGTGAACGCAAAGTAAACGGAAAAAAAGAGTGAACGTTTTCTGAACGGTGACCGCCAGCGCACAGCGAACGGTGAACTCACACTGAACGGTAGAAGAACATTGCACGAACGGTGAGCAAACAGAAAAAATGGGAAAGTAGAACATTTCAGGGACTGTAAGTTTAATTGTTGTTTATTGTGCTAGTACATTTTAAAGTAGCAAATTTTTTCATTTTCTTGTATTCTGAGGAAAGCATAAAAGTATGAATTCGTCCCCGCCTCCTTTTTTCAGCCTTAACAATGCTGCGTAAGTAAAACATATGTCATAAAAAGTACAAAATCGCAACAAAAAATTCTATCACTACAAAAGTTACTTAACCTTGGTTATTAATATTGACTATTTTGGATTAATTTCGCTATTGAAATTTTTTTTCTTATCAAATCAATCTTGACTTCTGAAAACGTTTCCATTTTTTTTTTTTATGTTTAAAAAAAAAAAATTTGTTAATGCCGCTTGAAAAAGGAGGAAATAAATAAAATAAAGTATATAACTAAGAGAAAAATGAATGAAATATCGAAATCATGTGCTAAAATATGGAAACATCTTCCCCTTTCCAGCAGTTCTATGTTTGTCAGAAGCATGTTTTGTTCAAAACTTTAACATGAGAAAAGAAAAAAACAAATCCAGTGGAAGTCATGTCTTTAGTTGGATATTATAGAAGATATGTTATCAATTTGCAATAAAACAAAAAAAAACTTCGTAACATAATCGAATGTACATATCCGACTCTGGTAGATAATAAATGAATACACCTGATAGTCTGAGACATCCGGTTCTTATTTACATTAAAAAGAAGGTCATCTTATCCCCCCTCTCAAAACATTTGTTGATATTTTCTGGAAAAAAAATCTCACCTTTCTACGCATGCAGATTCATTTATTATACTCTGAGCATGGAAGGTGCAGGCAAACATTACTTTAAAAATAACCGAATGTAATTAACAAAGGTTTAAAAAGGTTAAAAGGTTTTAAAAAACGTTAAAATCCTAAACATATTGGACACGCTAGAGAAAGCTCTACCTACAAACTATCTCTTGTACATAAAAAGTTCATGGCAAAAATCAATAAAATTAAGATATTATCATGTTCGTTAAAAGTAAAAGTAAATGTTAAACAAAATAAAATATATGCACTTTATAAGAAACTATTGAACTACTAAGTATTACATCTACCTTGATACTGTAATTCTCATTTAATACATTTGACGTCAAAACACATTTTCAAACTATATTTTGACAAGTTGCATCAATAATTTATAACTGTCTAAATAAAAGGTAATCCCGGTATAATTATGCCGAGATAAATTGTTCACTTGTCGGCCACCTTAGAAATTTGTCTTCTCATTGATTGTAGTATATACTCGTGCCACTGCTTTGAATATGATCATAAACTGCTTTTATCGCCAGCCGATATTCATCCTGAAATAAAATCAATAAATCAGTATTTATGAATCCTGAATACGCAGTAAAAAAAAAAAAAGAAACTAATTTTGAAGATATCGTAGCGATCTTTAAGGAATTTCGAATCGAAGGTCAAGAATTTAATGCATATTTGTAACTTCATTTGATTTTGTTATTTACTTTGAACTTGACCTAATCATTGTATTAATAACATAGTCTCAAAAAAACTCACAAGATTGGAACAAAACGCTGGTCTTCTAACTTGAAGTTGTCTGACGGAAGTGAAGATATCCACATTGTCGTCCATGTTGATCTGTTGTATCGCATTGTGTACAGCACAGAAAACTCCACATAATGTTGCACCATCACTTGAAAAAAATATATATACGTCAGTTTTACAAGGAAAATTTTCCTTTCCATCATTATTATTAAAAACAAAGGAAAAAAAGTTTGAACATACCGTATGATATTTTATCTTTATGAATCAAATTGATATTGTTGAAGCATAATTAGCTGCATTTTTGAGTAATTCATTTAGCTGGTGAAATGAATTATCATGATAGATTTTTATGTAATTTAAACCCTTATAATCAATAACATCAAAATGAGTTTCAAAATGTAGACAATAATGTAATTTCGCTTCAATTAAAAGTAATAAAACGTTCGTTAATCGCAAATATGAACAATAGAATTTTATTTAATATTCTGTTTTTCTATCATTGAATAGTTAATTCCGAATTTGCAACACAGTTTCCTGATGCCTAACAAGCAACTCATATTGCTTTGAGTACATATGCACTATGAACATTTCATGTACATGTGTATAAATTTTTATACCTACTATGGATATTAAATACACATGAGTACAAATTACAGGATTTAACAGACATACATCTTTTTGCATTTGGATTTGATTAATAAAGCGTACAAAAGCTTTGAGTTGTTTAAAGAAAGAATATATATGTTTTAAAAAATTAAGAAATAAAATAAAAAATAAACAACCTGCTGACAATAGTGATAGGGTTTTCCGTCTCAATGTTCAGTGTTGTTGAAACAAGACTCCGAAGTTGAGAAGTGTCAAGAGGAATTCCGGATGTTTTTATGCTGACCTTTGGTTCTATTATTGTCACTGGATGAGCTTCCTCTTCATTCTAAAGAAAATTGTCACGCAACGTTCTCTGATTTTTCTTTTTCTCTTAAATCACTCCACTCAATATATATACAATATTTAGATAAAAATAAACATTAAATTTATATTTAAAAAAAAAAACTCTTTCTAAAATGTTTTGGTTGAAATAATGGAAATATTACAAACATACGAGTAAAACACGTACATTTTTCTCTAGAATGTGAACAGTGGTACTGATGACGTCATTTTCAGATCTAGATTGGAATTGGACTGTAAAGGGTTGCATTGTTTTGGAAGAATATGGATTCGGAAACCATGCCCTTTCCTAGTGGAAAATCAAGTTTTACTCAATATACACTCAAAGCTAATTTATTACATGCCGATGGAATGTATTCCTTTCAATGATTGGTTGAGTGATTCAATATTGCATGACATGGAAGCGATATAATGTGCATTAGAATCAATTTTGAGTGCCATTTTGACTATTAGATATATTCTTCGTTAGTGGATACTCTGCTTTGCGTTGTCCTTCTCTACCATTAGAAAAACAATAACGTTTCAAACACTTAGGTAAAAATAAACTAACATTGTTCCCAAATCTATCCTTTAACTGCCGATACTTAATCAGTAGCAATAATAAGTGACAAAAAGTTGGAGTTTTGTTTAAAAAAAGCATTGACTGAGTGACGCCAAATGAAAAAATGCTCGCCTAAGCTTTCAATTCAGATGAGCGAAAAAAATCTGAAAAGTTAAGAAGCATTTCAGAAATAAAAATATTTTCAATACATTGTTTTCCCCTCACATTTTTGAACTTATTATTCACCATGGATGCGAAAAAGATGGGGAAAATATGGCATATATATCCTGTATGTATTGAATATTATACAATGAGGGAATTATTTTATTTTTTTTCTTGGAAAATAAGTATTATCCAGAAATAAGATATTTAACAAAATAACAATCGATAAATAAAGTTTCTTACCGAGTCAATCTTGTTTACAGGATCCATACAGATGACTGTGTCAGATTCATGGTCATTGAGCAGGCGCAAGAAATCAACAGCGTCCTCTAACGATGGATAATGCGTCACTATAAAAGTTCTGCTGTTGGTGTATGACTAGAGCAAAAAAAAAAAACGATACAGATTTGCTTGAAAACCTGTACTGGAGTCCATAAACTGAGAACAGACTGAAGTCAAAATCTTGATTTTGAATAGACATACGTTACCAAGAATTTGGATGTATGTATAATATTCCAATTTAAACATACGGTAAAATATTTGTTTTTTTATCAAAAGTATTTTTACAGTTATATTGATTTAAACTTTTGACTTAAGTCAGTCCTCAGTTGAATTAATTCTCAGCATACTTAATGAAAAAAGTCATTTTTCTACCCATGAATTTTACAGCTTTTTTCTTGCTCATCATTTTGCAGTGTAATAAAAGCAAAAATTAACGAAATTTTTAAATATTTTCAATCATTTACTTACTGGAACAGCTATTGCGTTAATGAACTGTCCTCGCTTCGGCACAACAGAGGTAAGATGAACGCTGTATCTATCAACTAACGTAAAAATGGAAATATAGTATTATGATGAAACTTTGTTATGTACTTTATAAGTAAGAACAAAAGATCTATTTTCCAGGAGGGTCACAGTAGTAGCTCAAGCCGGACCATCTTTATTCCAATCTTAAAAAAAGAGGCGGCAGCGTATTTGACCACTTCTGACCAATTGCTCCAAAACTGTATAGCTTTTTGGAATTCGCAACATATTCTTAAAAATATGAAACATTGATTTTTTTTCCTGAATATTTTCGATTATTTTTGTAATTTGCATGAACAATTAGTCTGAGTGTCTTTTTCCAGGAACACCAATTCACAAATTTTGTTAAAGGCTGCTGCTTACTGCTAATTAAAATCTTGCAATTCTACACAAGATATACATGGACTGGACTTCTTTAAGGTTTATAATGTTGATTTTTGATTTTAATCAATATTTGAAAAATCAATGTACGACGCTTACGGGGCAAAAGACTGTTGCGGCATATTCCTCCACAACCCTCTCTGGCAAGTTTGTAGGCATCATTGTTGTATACAGGTCGTATCTTCATTAAAAGCTGTTTAAAGAAACATTCAGAAAGAGAAATAAATGATAAATTAATGTAAAAATAAAATGATGATATTACAAATAATCCCTTTGTTGCTTTAAAGTACATAACACTGAGTTTTGAGAAAGTGTCTAGCATATTAATTATAAATCTGAAGTCTATGGACTAAGTTTTTATTTTGTTTTCACATTTTTTAATGCCTCTTAAGAAAAAAGGAAATGAGTCTCAATTATTATAACTAAATTCAAGTGATACTACTAAGAAATGAACCTACATTCATGTACCTACGAAGGATCAAGATTTTATGTAACTGAAAAACACTTTTTTATTATTCAATGGATAAAATCCATAATAATATTAACTGATTTTTTTCTAGAAATAAAAATGCGAAGAGTAAATGTAGAAAATTTAAAATTGAACTAGGAAAAAACAAAAACTCCAAAATAATAATAATAAACAAATAAAATTTCAGAAAAAAACAGGATACAATAACAATCTTTCAAGCATTAATTTCCAACAAATATTTGAAGTTTAATACCACAGACTTCTGTCGGAATAATCAATTTTGAAAAGTGGTTTTTTTTTCAGATTTAGAGTTAGATAAAATAGTTTTATTGTTGGAATTATTTTCATGCAATAAAAAAATTTTAATACAAAAATATGTTTGTATAATGAAAGTTACCGTTTGTACGTATTTCTAAATATTATGCAGTTTTATCAAAACAACATAACCATCAACAACAATATTTTAAAAAGATTTTTAACATAATGCGGTTGGTTGTCAATTATGTGACAAGTGTATATTTCTTTTAGTTAAATCAGAAGGTGAACCTGAAATTCTTTCCGCAGAACACTCTGGTTGGCTGGTTTGTCTATTGTCATGGTTTCAGACTTTTTAGTAAATTCCTCAATGCTAATAGTTTTCACTGTTGATTTAAATATTTCATTCAAAGCAAGAAAAATGGTCATGTATTGCTCCTAAAAATGAATTAAATGTTATTGAAAAAAGTATAACAACAAGACAGTGTGAATATAATTTTTCTAATGATAAATTTCTGCTTAAGGTAGTTAAATTTTTTCAAACCATCATATAATTATGGTAAAAGAGTACCGCAAACAAAACTTTGCATAATACCAGTCATCGTTTTCCATATCTTATATACGAAGAGCATAAGTGCACTTAAACAGATACGACATTATATAGATGAAAGCCAATGTAGTATAACAACTATTATTCTACATATATGTACACATTTCAGTTCCAAATTATTTATCTTTGAAATATTCTGTCAGAGTATACTTATAAGAGTTATTTCTTTATTAAAAGGACTTTTTGAAAGAATTTTTTTTTTAGAATTAAGTACTACGATCACAAACTAGCCTTTAAAAGTAAATTGATATATTTTTTTTTAATACGCAATTCAGTATAGATAACATACATAGGTTTGGACCATATTCATCCTGTTTTTCCTCATTTTTTTGACATATTCTGCAACATTGATTCTTCCTGTCTTGCTTCCAATTTCATTCAAGACATCTATTGCTATATACGTCCCCGTTCTTCCTATACCCGCACTTCATGTAGAAATGTACATTTATTATATAAAATAAGGTAAATATCAAATCACAAAAGGAGTATATATGTTAGGTGTTTCAATTGGCCCCTTAAAATGAATATCTTAATTTTACTTTATATATAATAGCTTTTATTTGTACAGCTATATATGTGACTTTTATTGGTCATTTTCATTTTGATCAAAATGTCGTTATTTTAGAAATAAGACATCATAAAAATAAGGTTTCCCCGCCTTTTATCCATATTTTGTATAAAACTGCTTATTTCCAAGCAGTTTTTCTTCCAGAAAATGTAGAGCGCAACCTAGAACAAGCTTTATAATTTTACCAAAGATGTACCTATCCAATACTAATTAATGACAGAAAAATTATGTATGTTCTACACTGCGCTCTATGTTTCCCATAAGAAAAAAAACACCAAGAAAAAGGCGTATTTTTGGCTTTTTTGTTAGATAGCAAAAATATAGCATTATTTCTCATGTCATTTACAGCTTAAATGTGAATAATATATTAGAAATATTTCTAATATAATCTCTTCTTCAAAATAAATATCAATTAAACATATGCAAATGTCATTCTAAAATGTTGATTTTTAGGGGGCCAAAATTGGCTCTTATCATATATACTCCTTTAAATCTATTATGGGTTTAGTACCTGCACTATTTTACTTTAAAAGATAACATAGGATAAAACACAAGTTCATAAGGAACAAAAATATAACCAGCTTTATTTAGGGCTTTTTATATAAAAAATGAAGTAAATGCCAGTTGTTAAAAAATAATTATTTATTGAATATCGGAATATCAAATTTTAAAATCAAAGTTGTATCAAACGTTCTGATCATATATTTTCCCGGATTCAATATTTTTATGGTCCATGGTATCTCAGTTGCTAGAGCTCTTCCTATGTGATCGTAGGGATATGAGTTCGAATCTGGGTTGCAACAGACCTAATTCGGCAAAAATATAAATGAGAAGCAACCGATCATTCGCCATGCGCTCGGCACTTTGAAGAGAAAGTTCCGGGTCCTTCGGAGGAGGCTTTTAAAACCGAGTTGTCCTGTCAAGGCAGGCATTAACACGACAAGGATCCATCACTATTCATTGGTCCAGAGTGCCGAGGAAAGGCAAAACTTTAAAGCCCGTCACCGGTGAGGTTTCTACATGAGTGATAAATTCTTGAACATACAATCAATCAATCAATCCATCAGTTAATCAGACAGTGTTCTGATTCTAAATGTTCTCCTTGGCAATGATTCAAAATGTTAATTGAATATTAAGAAAAATAACATGCACTTATTACTTATTATAGTTATGCTATTTCAAGGAATGAGTACCTATATTTCATTCTTATACCTGCAGTGTACAAGAGTCGGAGAGTTCTGATAACTTCCTATCCTGGTTACGTGATCAAGGAAAACAACAAGACAGAGGGGATCCGGGGTTCCGTGGTCTGGCCAGGTAGTATAATGAAACTGGGTCACCACACGTGAAGTTTTCGTCTGTAATTGCAAATTTCCAAATTTCAATGATTATATATTATTTTCTTCCATTTTATACATGTATATATCGGAAATACAAATATATTCAACTAATACAAATTGTGGTAAGAATATGGCTCATATATATGTATTGCCATTATCGTTAAAAAAACCCAATCTATTAATCATCAAAAGGTAATTTTCTGAACATTACAGAAGGTCTACAATTCTTAATATTCTAGATTTTTTTTTTTGCATCACTTGCAATTAAAAAAGGCCAAAAATATATACCAATTCAGACATCAAATGTTTGAGTTATTTGTCCTTAAGTATTGTTTTTGAAATTTAAGTTATCGTTTTCGGCTGCTATATGATTATCTAATTTCTTTTATTGAATTACATGACTGTACAAACCTTGACAGAAAGGCAAAAGAAGTTGTGTTTTTGTGTATAATGATGGCTATTGACCTTCTACAATTGTAATGACATCATAATGGCAAACTCAGCTTATCCTGTGTAAAAGTCATACATCTATTACATAAAAACAACTCACCTCCTTGTGGTTAACGTTCATTTTACGAATGTTGTAGAATGCGTACATTTTTTCCTCAACAGTTTTAACAGACACAATGCCGTAGTTGATGTGTTTGTTTGCATCCGGCCAGTACTGAGTGCATTTTGTCTAAACAGATTAGAAGGTGTACACATATGTATATAGATAGATACTTCTACTTTTATTATAATTTTTTGTACTTGGTCATATTTAGCATAGTAGATAAATCAGTGGACATTGTTTTTATGAAATCACAGATGAAGAGGTATTCCCTTTAAGATCACAACACCTTATTCCCTTCCTTGAGATTAGTCAATATTACAATAATTTTCACGTGTTCCTGCCAAACCATGGTCCAGAAATCAGCAACCGTATTCTGTTTTGGTCCTGAAATAATAATAATAATAATAATAATAATAATAATAATAATGATAAATTTAGTAATAATTAATTTTATTCATTTGTAGTTAGGAAGATGAAAATTAGGATGAATATTCCTCTTAACAAATTATCATAGAAGCTTTTATTGGTAGTGAAAAAAGAATGATATTTACGATTTTTATGCGCCCGGATAAATTGATCCGGGACATATGATGTTTTTGTTCTGAGTGTTTGTCTCTTTAATTGTTTGTCTGTCTGTTTTCAACTTTGCCCTTCGCCATAACTTTGAACGATGAGAGAAAGAGACAACATAATTGGTATGCATCTTCCAATAATTAAGCTTTTTACAAATGACACCAAGGTCAATGACGTTCTGACCTTGATAGTGACCTTCATGCTATTTTTTCTCGATTTTTTGAACCACGGGGGATAGAGACCTCATATTTGATATGTTTACTCCACTAGTAAAGTTCTTTCAAATGTCAAAAATGTCAAAGACCTTGTGACCCAGACTGTGACCTATTTGCTAAAAATATGTTTTCGAGCTTTGTTGCCACTGGGCACATAGTGTTTTACAAACACATCTTGTTCAATTCTAAATTTAATCTACATTCAGTTTATATTGAAAAGGCATAATGATTGCAACATAAAAACAATTAAACAAAATGTAGTAACCATTAAAATATTTAATTTATATATTATACCTTGCGCAGCAATGTATTGCTTTTCATTTTGTGCACCCTACAAGTACAAATTAATAATATTCTTAAGTGGTTTTTACAAAAAAAGTAATTAGATTCAATTTTAACACAATCACTCCAAATCCATTATGAGGGTCGGGTTTAATGAAACGTATATATTATTAATATTTAAACTAAGAGAGAGAGAGAGATAGAGAGTAGATAACTAACTTTTAGAATCCATACATTGTGCGTATATGTAATTACCTCAATATAATTTGCGTTGATGTAATCTGATCCAGTAGTTGACCTCAATTTGACTATTGAGTGGTCGTCTTGATTGTTAACAAAAGACAAAAACGAAATTTTAAATATATTTTTAAAAATATTTTTCATATCATTCGGGACATGAAAACGATGCAAAGAAGACCAGTTTTAAATTTGTGCATATGTATTAAATCATATTTAAATGATTTATACATTTACGTACATGGGAATGTGGTTTTATATCTATTTTTTATCAAATTCTCTTGTCTTTTCCCCGCATCGCACTTGTATCTCTCTCCATAAGGTAGCGTCTGCAATAGAAAAAATAAACACAAACAAAACATGTAATAAAAATTCGTTATGACACATAACTTTTGGACGCATTAACCCCTCAAAGTTTGCATTATGTGATTTTGATGCATATATGCGATTTTATATTTTTTTGCTTAATAAAAAGATTGTGGGATTTTTTTCACCGATTACTGTCTTCTACACAATCAAAGACAAAAAAAAAAAAAATCTTGTGTATCCTTTCAGTGATTTCTGCCTACCGCGTATTCTCTTTGAAACCCATCATCGTCATTCATTCTTTTCTCAACAATAATGCTCTCCAGATCATTAATTGATATGTCTCGTATTATCGTTTCATTGGCGTAGAAATCCCCATATGGATTTTCGGCGTGAATTTTCTCATCATCATCTACATCAGGCTCAACGTGCAATTCATGGCGTGCTGAGGGTTTCTCAATGTTTCTTTTACTTTTGTCATTTTCTCTCCCGGATGAAGATGACGGTGTTGTGTCAATTGTTGAAAATTTGGTTTCAAGAAATTTCTTTTTCGCTAAAACAAACAAGCAAAAAAAAAAAAAAAAAGAATTAGAATGTATTTTATTTAATTTCAAACAATATTTTATTCACTGATGTTATCGTGAATAGGATTGGGCAGCAGGCGCAGCCTATTTTAGCTTTCTCCCTAATTTATTTTATTGTCTTGTTGACGAATATAAAAATGACATAAGGCATCCAGTTATAATCCACTTACGACGTTTTGGTCTGTCTGTCTTTTCCTCACACCCGTTATTATTCTTTTTTTGTCGTTGTCTTTACGTCAGACAGATTATTTCAATACGAAAGAAAAAATAAAAAATCAATAAAACACAAAATTCTTAAACTTTATGTAACAGTTGCAATTACGGAACAAACACAGGTTAAAAACAGTTAAAATGAGAAAAAGTTTGGTTCTGGAACTTGAAACAATTTAAAGTTTCCTAAAACAGTTTTAGAAATGTTAATGTAGCATCAGGAGAGATATATTCTGGAACAGAGCTCTTTTGACTGACAGACCCTTGGAATTGATTGATTGATTGATTGATTGTATATTGTTTAACGTCCCTCTCCAGAATATTTCACTGATATGAAGACGTCATCATTGCCGATGAATGACTGCAAATTTAAGCCTATGCTCGGCACTTACGGACTTTGAGCAGGGAGGGATCTGCCACACCTGCTGTGACACAAGACCCCGGTTTATACGGTCTCATCCGAAGGACCGCCCCATTTAGTCGCCTTTTACGTCAAGCAAGGGGGATTGAGGACATATTCTAACCCGGATCCCCACGGGGCCCATTGGAATTCATAAGTGCTAAATGTATATATTGCCTAGAAAAACTTACATGCCGGGTTTATTTGGCTAGATTGGGCTGTTCAACGGAATTCCACACACTATTACTCTTTTTTTTAAATAAATCTATTAAATACACAACTGATTATGTTATTGGACATTCATAAAAAGCGTCGATATATGTTACAAACAAAAAATAATACGAGCCCAAGTCCGTTGCATTCTATGCAATAGATACACAATGATGTCCTTGTTTTCGTGAATGATGCAGGTGTCGAAATGTTGTTTGAAGCTTATATCTCATTTTTATCTTTCAAACAAGATTTCTCGACCTTTATCGTCTTAAAGTCATATTTTCCTAATAGAGTCAATCCACCATCACACCCTTAGATCTGTCAATCTCTCATTTGACTAGCAAAGAATTTTTAATCGTGCCATTCAATGAAGCAATAGTATTTGACGAATTCATTTTTTTTCACTATTTGTTGTTTTATCTCAGAATAATGTAAAAAGAAATATTAACAAAAAGATGGTAAGATACTAAGATAACCTTCTCAATATTATGATTACTATCACTGCAACCAAACAAACACCGAGTGATCCTGATACTCCACCAACAACTGCTCCCATATTGTCATTTTTGTTATCCTTCATTGAAAACGCCTACAATCAAAATATTCTTGTAAAATACTGTATATTGATATTGTAGTTTTTTTCAGATCTTAATTTTTATGGAAGAAAGTGTCTTGTTAGGTTAAACAGGCATTTTTTTTCTAAAAATCTGCATGTAATACGTTTTGGTTACATGTAACTTTTTCTAAACAAACTGCTAAGAAATATCTGAAAATAAGACATCGTTACATGTATAGAGAATGGTTTGAGTTCGTTACCGTAACCTTCCTGCAAAATCCGTTGATTGGATTACAGGTAGCATTAAAGCATTGCGTGCTACAGTTTTTCTTGCATTCAAAATCATATGTCCCTGACCTACATTCTGCAAGTAAGACCATTATGATAAATGTGATAGTATATATCTAGTTCTTCAATATTTTAAGGAGAACATTTTTCTAAATATTGAGCCATAACTTACTCATTTTACAATCTTTATTTGTATATCCTCTTGAACATCCTTCTGGACAAGAACCATCAATTTGATTGCATTTTACTGAATTTTTACAGTTACCACACTGCATACTACAGTTTACTCCATATCTTTTGTTTGTGCATTCTAAATAAAATGTTGCAAAATGTTTTCAAGAAGTTTTAAAACTTTTTAAAAATTAAAAGCTACTTACTTTTCTTTATTTTTTTTTAATTTGAAACAGAGATCGATAAATGTACTTTAAACATGTACATAATTACCTAGGTTGCATTTCGATCCCCTCCATCCAGGTTGGCAACCTTTTTCACATTCCCCAGTTACTTTCTTGCATTTATAAGGCTCAAGACACTTTTCACTACAATTCCTTTCACAATTTTCTCCAAATGTTCCATTCAAACACTCTTACATGTAAGTAGTATATTAAAACATTAAAGTAAAACCTTGAATACGAGCTCTTCATGTGAATTCTAAATAGAAATAAACAATTTGTATACCTGTTTTACAAAATGTTCCTTGATACCCAGTGTCACAACCTCCAAAACATGAACCATTGATGTGGTGGCATTGTTCTTTATCTTTACAAGCTCCACATATCTGCTTACAATCTTCACCATATGTGTTATTTTGACATGCTATTAATGTTAAAGAAGCAAAAAGATAAAATAAAAAACAATAGTGTCTTTAAACCCTTTGAGATTTTATTAGTCTTTTAATAAAATTTCAATAAAAAAGGCTAACTTGAGATCAAATTAGTATTCAAAAACCTATATTTACGTTAATTAATCAAAATAATTTTGATTTTGATAAAGTGCGTAAGAATGATACTATTTTACGTACATTTGATTTTGACATTAAGGAAATAAAATACAATAGCATATAATAATAATAATAATAATAATAATAATAATAATAATAATAATAATAATAATAATAATAATAATAACAATATTTATTATTATTATTATTATTATTATTATTATTATTATTATTATTATTATTATTTTATCATCATCATCATTATTAGTAGTAGTAGTACATGTAGTAGTAGTAGTAGTAGTAATAGTATTAATATTATTGTTGTTGTTGTTGTTTTAGGTTTCAGATTTGAAACCATCAGTTTAATAGAGATTTATGATCAGAATGAAAGCTTTAATCAAGTTTAATAAATTGAAAAGAAGATTCCATCGCCTAAAAAATATTAACATTGTTTATATATTCATGAACACAAAAGCGTTTACCTTTTGATATTTTTTTTTATTCTTCATACCACATAAAAGTAAAAACAAAAAAAGAACCCATATTTTAAATAAACTTAATTAAAAAAAGTGAAGCATTGCATGATCTTCTGTAGACCGAATACTTGTTCATGTAATTCAACCATGAAACCAACGCTATTACCAGCAAAACGTTTAATCAATCTGGTTAAGGTCTACAATATACAATATTCAGCACAGCTATCATGTTTAATCTTTCGATCTCAATTCTGGCTTGAAAATCTTGACAACATTGTGTGCAAAATGTAAACATGATCTAAGAAAAATTAGAAAAAAAATATTACGAGCAGGTTGTTCTAAAATATATGATTCCTCTTAACTGACCATCAGGAATACATGCCTTGGCACATTTACTTGTTGCATTTAATACGAGTAAAGAAGGCGTCAAACAATTCAGTAAAAAATAAAATCACATTGATCGAGAACTTATATATCAAAAAAATACAATATATATTTTGGTAAAAAATGAATTTTACGAGGGATCATATTAGAAAAGGAAATGTTGACTTCTCAGAATTAATACGTGTACGTTTCAGTGTTACAGGTAATTGTTTGAGATATTAAGTAGCTTAAAATAAAAACAGCATGTAGTTGAGGGTAATCTTGACTATCCTCAGACAAATACAATGTCAACCTCGGCTGTTCCTAGGTTGACATTTGTTTTCGTTCTATTGGAAGAAAAATGTCATTGTTATACCGTTCAAAATTTGATTCTATTCAAATCTATTCAAAAGAGTCTTGTTTTTCTAAGGTTTTGCTGAGCAGGCATACAAAATCGATTTTTGACAGATGAGTGAGATGTTGGACCGGTATGTAGGATGTTGAAGAGTTAACGTCACATAATCGGCTGCGCTTAATCTACATTTCATTTGATGGTGTTCAAAATTGACGGACCTGAGGTTACATCACGGAAGACAGTACTAAAGATTGTCGCGGATTCGTCACCGCACATCGAAATATCTAATGATGCCCAAAATTATTGTCCAATAACTATAACTTAACTTGGATATGATGTCTAAATTAATATTATATTTATAAACTGTCCGTATTATCTCCAGACAAGTGAAGCTATCGTGTGTTTGTATGCAGATTCATTGAAAAAGTAACAAATGAATCCTAATAAAACAATTCATTGCAAGGGCGGGAATACCCTCAATGTATGTTACCAAGTTTTTAAACATAAACAAAAAAAGCATTACTATATTTGAAAAGCGCTGCTAACCTTATGAAATCTTGCAAATAAATTAATTTTAGCTATATGTAATGTAGTTGACCAGCAATCTATAGCCGTCCAACAAATTCAACTTGGCGTCCGACCTGCCGTCCAACAAATTAAATTTTAGCAATTAAAAAGGGAATCTATATATAGGTTTGCAGCATTTTTCACAAATAACATACAGTGCTGAAAAGGATTATAGATTAAACTCAGATTTTTAACTTAGTTATGCCCTTGCAATATTGGAATTTCTCGATGACCTCTAAACATAGGTATACAAGCTTAATTCATGTGACTTCGATATCACGTGCCAAGTCTAATAAAAAAAATAAATGTCCCCAATATGTTGTTTTGAACCACATTACATTACACATCACATTTGTTGATATCAGTGAAGTCCTCAAAAGAATTGTCCATCCTTATAAAGTATGTATTTTTTATCTTTAAAAAAATTGCAGATATTTCCATTTGTGACTTAACTCTACTAAAATTGATGAACCAAAATAGGTTGTTATAAATCTAGACGTTTTGGTTTTCTAATGTCCTTATAGTAAAGCTGACTTTATTAAAAAACACTAGTACTATTTGAAATAGAACTTTTCTGACAAAAAATTATATTTACGTTCTGTACAATAACGTCCTTTCCATCCAGCCTTACAGCGAGATGTACATTGTCCAGAGAGTCTGTCACACGTATCACAGTTGCTACACACTTTAGAGCAGTTCTTCCCATACTGATTTATTGGGCAAACTAAATTAAAAGAAAATAAACAATACAAAACGCAGGATATGAAGTACCATAAAAAACGAAGGAACGAATTGAAGGATTTACATCTGGAAATAAGACTTTAGAAAAAAGAATGGTGTAAAATAATAGAATCCAAACAATCAAATATATATTTAACATTTCAATTATATTTAAGATGTCACTGAGGAATTACCAAAACCATCATTCCATTGCATAATCATAAAGGCATTTTTTCAATTAAAAAAATGCACTGTGTATATCTAAAAAGTTAAAACATGTATATGCAATATCAGGTTTGCCATTATATATGCGGGTATGTTAAGGAAGCAATCCATGAATAGTATTTCCTGGGAAATTTACTATTTTTAAAGAAATTAAGTTTGATAATTTACCAACATCGCTGATAAACGTAAATTATTATTAACAATTGCATATAAATGAAAGAGTGTCTAACGCAAAGAGGTGTTCCACACCACGGCATCACGTGGCTTCTATTAATAGCGAAATGGTCCTTATTAAAAAGCTAATATACCAACAATTCCCCGGAGTTTTATAAATTCTTTGAATATATGATTGATTGATTTTACCCTAACAAAAAATACTATAGTAAACTATAGTTAACTATAGTTTACTATAGTTTACTATAGTTAACTATAGTAAATCAAAGTTTCAAAGTTTTCGCCAAAGTTTTTCAAAGTGTCAAAGTTTTCGTCAAAGTTTTTCAAAGTGTCAAAGTTTTCGCCAAAGTTTATCAAAGTGTCAAAGTTTTCGCCAAAGTTTTTCAAAGTGTCAAAGTTTTGGCCAAAGTTTTTCAAAGTGTCAAAGCTTTGGCCAAAGTTTATCAAAGTGTCAAAGTTTTCACCAAAGTTTATCAAAGTGTCAAAGTTTTCGCCAAAGTTTTTTCAAAGTGTCAAAGTTTTCTATAAACTTTTTTAAAGTTTCAAAGTTTTCGATAAACTTTTTCAAAGTTTCAAAGTTTTCGATAAATTTTTTCGAAGTGTTATATTATCCAAGTTTTCAATAAAGTTTTTCAAAGTGTCAAAGTTTTCAACAAACTTTTTCAAAGTATCAAAGTTTTCGCTAAAGTTTTTCAAAGTATCAAAGTTTTCGCTAAAGTTTTTCAAAGAATCAAAGTTTTCAATAAAGTTTTTCAAAGTTTCAAAGTTTTCGATAAAGGTTTTTGGAAGTGTTATATTATCCAAGTTTTCGATAAAGTCTTTCAAAGTATCTAAGTTTTTGCCAAAGTTTTTCAAAGTGTCAAAGTTTTCGCCAAAGTTTTTCAAAGTGTCAAAGTTTTCGCCAAAGTTTTTCAAAGTGTCAAAGTTTTCGTCAAAGTTTTTCAAAGGGTCAAAGTTATCACTACAGTAAATCAAAGTTTTCAAAGTGTCAAAGTTATAACTATAGTTAACTATAGTAAACTATAGTTAACTATAGTAAACTATAGTTAACTATAGTAAACTATAGTTAACTATAGTAAACTATAGTTAACTATAGTTAACTATAGCATTTTTTTGTTAGGGTATGTTGTTTAACGTCCTTCTCGAGAATTATTCATTCATATGGAGGCGTCATTGTATGCCGATGAAGGGCTTCAAATTTTGGCCTTCACTCGGCGCTCAGGGTCATTGATTAGTGAAGGATCTTTATTGTGACAACGCCTACCGCTGACACGAGGCCTCGGTTTTTAAGGTCTTATCCAAAGGACCCGCAACTTTCACTTCAAAGTGCCAAGCGCATGGCGAAGGAACAGTTGCTACCAATTTTATCGACTATGTCAGTCGCGGCCGAGATACGAACTATTGACCTCCCGATCACGGAGCGAGCGTTCTACAGACCGGACTACCGTGAATGGTCCTTGAGTATATAGTTAGTTGCAAAACCTATATTTTGCTTATAGTGTGCTGCTAGAATCCCAGTGTCTTCCCAGTAAAATAAATAGTTCCACACATTTGATGTTTTGAATTTATACATATGAACCAATATTTTTCGTAAAACAATGCTTAACTCGGGATTCTAGCAGCATATTCAAATATTTTAGAAAGTAACTTTTCAATTTGTGCTAATCTTATGTTTGGAAATATCCAGCTTATTGTTGTTCTGTTGCACTTTTTTAAATCAAGAATTACAGAGAAAATTCCGAACGGGATAGGTATATAGATGGCTGTCTTCGAAAGCGAATATTATCGATGAAAATAAATTCACATACCTGTTTAATTAACTGAAGTCTATATTAATTTCACATAATATTCAAAATATTTGCTTTTAAACTCAATTTTACGTATCTTTGTACATACCGTCCTAGCCTAATTCTCATTACACGGCATGTCAATTCCAAAGTTACTTGAATGTACACATTCGTCATCGTCTCATTTTAATGAAAATGACAGA